ATCCCGCTCGCGGCCATACGACTCAATCCTCTATGAAATTCAAAACACCTCTCACTCAATTTTTCCATCTTTACCACCTCTCATGTTTTCCCTTGAAATTCCAACCAAAAAACCAAAATTTCTCTTTAAGACATCTGCGAAGACTTTGTACAAAAGAAGTTAAACAATTACGATTGTAAAAATCACAATAACAAAATTGCTAATAAAAATAATAACAATGATAACAATAATAATAATCAACGAAAAATAACTACTTCTGTGCTTTCTTGAGCAGAATAAAATGAATGAGACGAGCGATTTCTTGGAATGCTATTGATACGAATACCGCGAATACTAACGTATCCCTCAGTGGTATCACGGCATACCACACCAACGCTGAGAACAACAATGACAATAACCAGAAAAATGCTCTGAAAAATTAAAAATTCCAAAATTCTCCAAAATTTCGTCCCTCAAAAATGGAAAAAACATCCTTTCAAACACAAAAATAGTACTGGAACAGACGAGATGCAGATATAAAACTCAATATTCAATAAACAACAAATGAACGCACCCCAGAACGAATAGAATTATTCGTAGCGGATCATTTGCAATGATTTTATGAAAAATTGCTAGTGCAGGCGAGAATGCAAACAGCAGATAGGCGAGACCCGCTAGAGCTGTCATTTTCTGCTGGATCAATCAACTGCTGCTGATTTTCAGGGAATTTCTCTGCAAAATACACAGAAATTTTTTCGAACCATTAATAATTTTCATGATAATAACAACAATGATACGAGCAACGAATAATGTGTGACAAAACAATAACTGCAATCATACGACTTAAACTGCAGTAATATCAGTAAAATAAAATCCGAAAATCCCACACAACCTCCGCACAAACAGAATAAACATCAAACTGAATACGTCCTCCTATTAATCGTCGACAAACATTACACAAACACAGAGATTAACACGAAAATTTGAATCATATTCAAATAATATCAGTAATAATAATGACAACAGTACATCATTCCGTTTCGAGAAAATTTTTTCCACGCAATATGAATCGAATCCGTGATCTATCAATTAACAATTCGATGTTTCACCTTTAAACTCTAAACTATCGCAGAGACTGCTCAGCCTCCAAGCTTCCACACCCCATGTACTGAGTTTGCAATCAGTTTCTAAACGCACTTAATGTGAAACTGATCTGATAGAAGCTACAACCGCTACTATCAAATCGCATCGATCACGATAACATCAACAGACAGACGATTAGATACAAGCCAAACGATAGCTGCCTGGCTCTGTCTCTGCAAAATCAATCACATTGCTACAATAGTCGCTTTCGAGCCAAACTTGCCTTCACCGTCGCGAATCGACCCCGTCAAAATAATAACAATGTAATAACAATAATAACCACCACAATAATCACAACCTAACGACCAATCGCCAGGCCCATAACTCTCTCAACTGCATAATACTTTTCAATAAACCCAATCCCAATACCACCACATTCAGTTATGATTTCAATCACGCACCATAAGAGTACAAAATAATTCACAAAAAATAATTTCAAAACAGAATGAAATATTTCAGAGAATGGTTTTTCAAACCACCACCACACTAAACACTTCACTGAACTGATCGTCACCGCAAAACAATCAAC